AGAAGCCCATGACCCTTTTGAACCTATAACCCTTTTTATCTCTCTCGTCATGGTTCCTTAATTTCTTCAAATAAAACTATTTTGCTTTACTTAAAGAAAACCCAAATTCTCACAGAAAGGAAAATAAGTAGAGACTTCAAAATATCACCAGTAAATTGCTGAAAATTAACAAATCTTGACTTTTCCATTAATCTGAACAGGCTTAACAAACATAATGACATTTCAAACATTCTTCAGAAATATGGAATATGGACCTAGGCAGAAACAAGAAAATGACCAAAACAATAGAAGTAACAAAGGCTCAATCTGTATGAAGTACTAGGTAACCAGAGCATTTATAGTGTCAAAGGTTTTCTGTTTGTTTGTTTTTTGCTTTTTGGGGTCACACCCGGGGCAATACACAGGGGTTATTCCTGGCTCTGCACTCAGGAATTACTCCTGGAGGTGACTCAGGGGACCAAATGGGATGCTGGGAATGGAACTCAGGTTGGCCGCGTGCAAAGCAAATGCCCTACCCACTGTGCTATTGCTCCAGCCCCAATGTGTCAAAGGTTTTTAAAAGTTACATAAATTGGAAAAAATGATAAAAAATAACAGAAGTAAAGTTAAAATGTGCAAAAGTTTTTGTTTTCTAAAAAGTGGTATAAATTGTATTCAACTCTATAGGTAAAAGCTAAATATAATAATTTAAGGGATTAAAATAATATGCAAAAAGGGGTTATAATGAATGGTCAATTCTTGGTTCAAAAGAAAGAATTAGAAAAATTAAAATATGTGCTGGGCTGGAGAGATAGCACAGCAGGTAGGGCATTTGCCTTGCACTTGGCCGACCCAGGTTCGATTCCCAGCATCCCATGTGGTCCCCTGAGCACCGCCAGGAGTAACTCCTGTGCGTTGCCGGTGTGACCCAAAAAACAAAAAAAAAAAATGTGCAATTTAATTTTCTTAAATTGTTAGGGCGATTTAAAGAAATTATAAGACAGGATATTTAAATCAAATAATCTGAGTTGCATTAAAAATAAGTGGAGACATCTAATTAAATGACAAGAATTAACTGGGTAAAAAAGAATTTTCATCTCACAAGAAATATATTTTAAATATTAAGTTTTACAAAATAGGATGGGATTATTTATATATATGACAAAAAGTATTACCAAAAGAAAATTGACATAGATGTACTGATAACAAATGAGGCAAACTTGAAAGCAAAAAGCATTATTTTTTTAAATAAAAGAATCAGTATAGAAACTAAAATTTGTGTATCTCATAATTCGAGACTGGGTAGAAAAATGTAAATTAAATAAGAGGTTAGGTATGGAATTAAAATAGCATTTGTAAAGGCACCAGAATGAGACATTAAAAATGAGGTAGCACAGTTATTAGTAAACATGTGCCTGGTATGGGTTCGATTCCTGTACAATTCCCCAAGCACCATTGGGGGGACGGGGTTTGGGTAATTCCTGGTGATTCAGGACCTGGACAGAATGGGCCTTTGCATTGAACCATGGGTCCAGCAGGTATAGAATCTCCTGTGGGGCCCCTAAGCCTCCTGAGCACTGTTGGGAACACCTTACGCCTCGTTCCCCTGGGAGAGTATTTGAACTTAAATATTCCGTGGCCATAGATACTTTTCTAATTTAAGGAAGTTAAGAGAACCCTTTGTAATTTAGCAAAGTCATGCAAATCTAATTTTTCTGCTTTATTTTGTTTGGTGGAGGGGTGGGCGTCACTGCACCTACGGAGCTCAGGACTTACTCCTGATTGTGTACTCAGGGATCACTCCTGGTGGGGCTCAGAGGATCATATAAGGTGCCGGGATCAAACAGAGGTCAACCATGTGTGAGGCTAACACCCTGCCAATTAGTTTGAGGCTGACAATTTAATTTTGATCATTCTCCAAGGGCACTTCAATATTTGGAAATCTATCAAGAAAACAAAATGTATCCATAAACTGAAAGGGGAAATTGATCATAGAGCTAGATGCCCATAAGACCTTATAAACATTGGTAGCAGAAAGCAGGTTAGACCACATTCAAAAATAAACTTCAGCCCTAAGGATCTAAATATAAAACATCAAACAAAATACAGAATATGTATCCTCCTTAAATATCTCCTAGAGCTTTCATTTCTAAGTCTTTGAAGGCCCTATTAGAATTTAATCTTTTCCCTCAACTGTCCCCTCTTTGGCTACAGACTTGTGGTATAGCGTGTATGTTATCTTTGCTTTCCCAGTGTTTCCTTACCCTTCTTCCTCTGTCATTGTGAGTGATCTCTAAATGCTTACTCATCTAGCTGCATCCTGCCAAGCCAGTAGTAGCTACACAATAAATACTTGTCTGGGGCTAGAACAACAGTACAGTGGGTAGAGCATTTGCCTTGCATGCAGCTGACATGGGTTTGATTCTCAGCACCTCAGATAGTCCCCTGAGCCTGCCAGGAGTGATCCCTGAGTGCAGAGTCAGGTGCAAGTCCTGAACACCACCAAGTATGGCCCAAAAACCAAACAAAATACTTTGCTAAAATGACACCCTCTCCCTGAGAACCTGCCTAACTCCCATCCTCTAGAGAGAGACTAGGATGCTTCCTGGGCAGTGAAAAGAAATGAGGTTTGGAGTCACTGACCCCAGGTAACTCCTGTTTATGGTCTATGTCATCCTGTGCTATCTGCTTCTCTTTAGACTGTTTTCTGTGGGGTGACTTAAGACACTATTTGGCTGTAATCACTGCCCAGAAACAACCCTGACAACTAGTGCTATTAATATTGACAGAGATAGGGGAATTAAATATAGCTATGAGAATAAAAAATGGGTGACGTCCAGAATCTTTCTCACAGATGGGATGGTGTAAAACTTGGGTAAAACAAGGGAATTTGACAGCAGTTTTTCCTCATCTGCATTTTTCTTGTCCCTCTTCTAATTGCATCTTCAATGTTGACATTCTTGGTGTTTCTCACTCCTGATTGTGCCTTAGAATAATTTGGCCCTACCACAGACCACCTAAATCAGAATGTACTCCATGGACTTTTGTGTATAGCTGAACCAGAGAATCACTTGTTCTTTGTTCTCGTTTCTAGTAGGATGGCCCAATATTGCATAGCTAAGAAACCATAAATGCATATGTGTGTGTATATATATGTGTGTGTATGCACATTACACACATATACATATGACACACACATATATATCTATATATATAATTTTTTTCTTTTTTCTTTTGAACCAAGCTATAATTCCTAAGGGAGGTAGTACATACAGCAGTATGAGCAGGGATAGATGCTAGAAATTTAGATATGCAATTTTACTACTAGATGGAAAGGTAGCCAGCAAGCTATAGAATATTTCAGTCCTCTGGTTCCCTAACTAATCAAATAAGGACACTGGGATATTTTGTATCTTAAACTGTAACATTAAGTTTTCAGTGAAAAAATAGCCGTCTTCCAAAAATCGAAAATTCTAGAAAAGGAGTTGTTGTTGTTTAGTGTTCCTATCATAATCAAGGAAAGTCTTTGTTATGCTATGTAGCTGTGGACCTTGCATGAACCAGCTCAGTTTTTGAACCTGTTTACTCATAAATTGGTAAGGTAAGGTAAGGTAAAGGCCCTCCCGTTGTTCATTGATTTGTTCGAGTGTGCCCAGTAACGTCTCCATTGGAGACTTTGTTGTTAGTGTGTTTGGCATATCGAATACGTCACGGGGAGCTTGCCAGGCTCTGCCGTGTGGGCGAGATACTCTCGGTAGCTTGCCGGGCTCTCCGAGAGGGGTGGAGGAATCAAACTCAAAAATTGGAACTACCTATTTTGTGGATGATGCATTCACTGGTGACTTTCAATTGCCGGACCACAGTGGCTGAAAACTACTGGTCTACCGGAGTGGTGATTAACTACTTATCTGCAATTACACAGGTTCTAGTGTATTGATGTTGCAATGTTAAAAACCATTGAAGTAAGCAGTGAGAAAAACCCAAAATTTATTATTGCCCAGTTGTTACTAACCTGTCCTCTTTTTCATTGCAAAGCTGTGGAGAGAATTGTACAAGCCTTTGATTTCAAGTCATCATTAAACCTCATAGTCTGTTAGTAGAGAGTGGAACCCATATGACTATAAGTAGAGAAAACATTTCTACTTGAAAAACTCAATTTTGGAACCAAGTAGTCCCTGAGATTTATTTTAAATACACTTGCTGAGGGGGCAGACACAACTGACCGAGCTGCCTGGAGTTGTCCCTCTAGTGTCTCTTTCCTGGACCTTTACTAATTGCTAGGGATGTCAATATTGACAAAATAAGTATATAATCAACCTGAATTGGGTTGAAATGCCCTGGTAAGTTGTCCTAATGGGAAGTGTGACAGACACTGGGTGTACTTGAAATGCTTTTTCCATGAAGAATCCCTGCCACCATCCTCTGTCCTCATCTTCTCTTACTAATAGCACCCAGTAGATTCTCTCTCTTTGTTTTGTTTTGGGTATGCTTGGGTCACACCTGGCTCTTGGTGGTGTTCAGAGGATTAAATTTTGGTGCTGGGGATTGAATGGGTTGACTGCATGTAAAGCATGCACCTTAATCCCTACATTATCTCGCCAGCCCAGCAGCTGGTAGATTTTTCTATCTCATAAGCTCTGTATTATCTGCTATGGGCATGCAGGTAAATCTATAACTTTATGTTGACCTTAATTCCTGTTATGATAAATGTCTACTTCCCGGAGAAACTTGGGACTTAGAGTAGTGAATTTGAAAGCATGAGACTGGGCAAACATTTGTAGTATTGGCTTTGGCAGTTATTCCTAATGTTGGCACTATTGGTGTATGCATTTAGACAAGACAAATTTGTTGTGGACCAGTGGCACAGACAGAGTTTTCTTTCCTACAGCAAATAAGATACTTCCATTATAATTTGTCTCCTAGCAAATCAGTAGATTGAGCTGTCTGGTTTCATTGAGAACAAGTTCCCTTGGAAGATATGAATGCTCATTTCCAATGAGACTCTGAGAGTTGCCACTTACCCACTGAGATGGTCCACACTGCAATAATTTTGAGGAATGCCTTAGTTCTGGAGTTGAATCGACTGTGGTGGATGGGATTCTGGATGGCCACATATCGGTCCAGGGAGATGGCACAGAGGTGCATGATGGAGGCTGTGGAGAAGAGCACGTCCAGGTAGATCCAGACAGCACACAGCTTGCTGGGCAGGGGCCAGCGGTAACCTAGGGTGCAGAAGGTTGGCATGAGTAAGCAGCCTTATGGACGTCGGGTATCTGGACTCTGCCCAGCCTTTCAAGGCCAGGAAAGGCTTAGGTGACATCTGTCTCCAACCTGGGGGAAAACATAGGTGGCAACAAGGGTAACACTAGATATTTGTAGCATTTCAGAGAAGTCTGATAGGAACTGTAGTTAAGAATAAGATCTCATGTGCAAGTGGACACAGGGTGTGAAAATTTCCGTGGCTGAAAATCATGGCAACATATTATGGTAAATGAATTCTTTCTCCTTGTCTGTTTTTGGTGTTTTTTCCTCCCCAAATGACTTAGGTCAGAGTTAGAATGTCTGTTGGTTTCTCTGCAAGTACTACTTACCATTCATTTATTTTTCTCCCATTATTCATCCTTTGCTCATCTTTCAGTCTGGGTCCTTGGGGTTAGGCCCATCTGTTAGTCATTATTCTATCTGCTTTGTCTCCCACTGAGATGGCATTTAGGAATCTCCCAACATGCTATTAGTATGAATGAATCAAGGATTCAAAAGCAAGAATGAAATGCAATTTTTATAAACACAAGAAACAATGTTATTTGGTGTGAGCTTAGGTCTGGGGCCTGGGGGGAGGGGGACATGCTGGCGAGGAGTAGGGAATGAAAACAATGGTGAAATGATGAAGAACTGCACATTCTTGTCCTGATAACTGCTCCAGGGTGGTAAACCTAAACCTCAACCTCAGATTTGGTTGCTCTATAGCAAGGAGCTGCTGGTCAACCACCGTCTCTGGAGCCTCTATTAGTCTGCAGTGGGGCGGGTAAATTGCTATTTTCAACTACTTTCCAAGTAGGAATGGTCCCTGGCCCATATTTTGGACATCTCCTTTAGACAGGGTGCTTACCCATTGACTACCCACTTAGTGTTGCTGGACAGTTTTGCTCTGGGCTCTGATGCCTGGATTCACAGTGGTGGACGCCCCCAGCATCAGTGTTTGTTAGCTCCCAAATATTTGTTGTCTGTCATATTAAGAACAGTAAAGGAGTTTTCCTGTTGTCTGGGGAATTTAGAACATACCCTCCAGACCATCAACCAAGTGTCCTGTCTGGTTTTAGAGTGGGAAATACATCAAACAGTCCTAGAAACAATTTAGTCTTGGCCACAGTAATAGGAAGCAGGGGTAGAACTGTGTGCAAATCAGCAAAATGATAAATCACACCTTTCCTCCTAATATTCCAGACCCACAAAGATAAACTATCTGTAGGCCAAAAGTTATTCTTAACAAAGTGCCAGTAAGGCTGTTCTGGGCAGAAAAGGGTGCCAGAGGCACACATAATTTATCATCTTTCACTTTGGTTATTTGCTAAAAGCTTGAGCTTAAATTAGAGCCTTTTCTTTAGCAGCGCCTGAGGGGTGGAGGGAGGGTGTGTGTGTAGTGGGGGTTGTGTGTGTGGGGAAATAATGCTCAGCCTGGTAGGAAATGATGTTGATTCTTTTAGTTTTGCCTGCAAAGATGCTGCAGTGGGCTGAAATCCTGGTTTCTGTGACGTGCATAAGGGTTTGGGGCGGGGGTGGGGGGATGGTTCGTCCTAGTTCAGCCCAAGGGGGGTCCAGTTCAGGGAATGATAAAGCTCCTGGCTAAACTCTCTGTACAAGGAGCATCCGCCACCAGGGGGCGCAGTTGCACCCCTAGAGGGCGGTCCTTGCTGCTAACTGCTCCCAGGGAAGGTGCCTGCCCAACCTCTCTCGGGGTCACCCTTGCAACCCATCCATGGTCCTAGTTTCCCCAGGGAGTCACCCTCACCTCCCCAGATTTCCCTTTAAGAAGAGTGAGTTTTATAGCGTGCGAGAGAACCTGCAGAATGTCTAGGCAGTGACAATGAACCGAATGAAATTCTGATACTTGAGTAGACACGTGGGGGCTGGCCTTGCAATGCACATTACAGACCCTGGGTCTAGGGTGCCCCTCTCCCAATTCCCAGTTCCTTCCTCCTATAAACACTTTATGGTTGGATTCTAATATGTTTTAATCATTTGCCCCTTAAGATGTGGCCAGAGACATCCCCTCTTCAAATCCCGTAACCTGTTTCTAGCTTGGGTACTGGCTGTGCTGTTGTCAGAAGTCTCAGCATTCTCTCTTCCAAGGGAAGAGTCTGTGTTACTCATAATTTGAAAAGAATATCACATTCTGCTTCCCGCTGAAGCCGTCCTAGTGTTTGCTGACTTGCTGAGAGATGTGACTGTTTCAAAGTCTATTGAGAAGAAAGCAAGATTAATCTATTCCCTTTCGTTTCCCATCCTCCTTCAAACCCGCCTGAAGGAGTAGATACAACAAGCCTCTTGAAAGAGTGGAGGGGCTAATGCAAAGGCATCCGTCCAAAGGAGCTGGTCTAGGCAGGAAATAATTAAAATGGGAGTGATTCATTTATCCTAATGGAGACCCACGTTTTAACATTAAATTCACTGCACCACGAACACACTCTCTGCAATGGTTCCAAGGTGACTGGGGAGGTTTTGCCATACCATTAGAAGTGTTGAAAACTGTGACAAAGATAAAACTGCTCTTCAGGCTGAGAAATTTAGAACAGCAAAAATTAAGTGGATTCAGAATCCACTTAAGGCAAGTGCCTGTCCTATGACTGTATTGAGGCATTTAGAATGATTGCTGCATGACCAGTGAGAAGTTTCAAGCACAAAACTCTCCAATAAGCATAGATAATTAAAAAATACAAAACCTTATTTTAAGATTGAAAAGGAACTAGCTGGACAGACTTTGTCTACACACAAGCACTGCATTTAGTTTGTCCCTGGAGGCCCATTTCAATTGCTAAGGACATGCACATGCTCCCTGTTCCTATGTGGGCACAGCTGGGGACTGGACGCCACTCACCATAGAGGATGGTTAGCATGGACACAGGCATGACAAGGAAACCCAGCAGCATATCTGCTATAGCAAGTGACATCAGGAAATAGTTGGTGGCGTTCTGCAGCTTTTTCTCTAGGGACACTGCCATGATGACGAGTATGTTTCCAGCAATGGTTAGAATGATCACTACAGCTGTCAACAGAGCAGACCAGTGTTTTTCCTGAAGATGAAGTAAGGAGAAGCAGGGTGGCGAGTGACAGCCCTCACAGGAAAGGTTGGTGCGGTTTTCGGAGTCCACTGTCCAGTTGAATGCATCTGAAGTGTTCTCTTCACCGGAGTTAAAGTCATTATTGTAGAGCCTTGGTTCATCATTCAGTTGCATTAAGGAGTTCATAGTTGAGCTCAAAGAAGCGTTTTCTTTGCAGAGAATATCCATGGCTAGGCTGGAACTTGCAGGAGAGGAAGTGTTGAACTCGTAAGTTACAAGCTCTGCTCACCATCCGTCTTTGTGTCCACAGCTGCCACACTGATGCTGGTATCCTGTGGGGGTCCTTTGGGGGCCTGTGTTCCTCCCATCATGACAGTAGGTGCTAAAGAAGGGCAACACCTTCTTTGGCGATTTTAGTCGTCAGGGTTTGGTTTCTTATTTTTTTTTTTTCCTTTTTCTCCCTCTCTGAAGTCAAGTCAGAAAAGCAAAATGAACTTTTAGCATAGAGGTTACAGAGTCTTGAGCATTCAGGGAGAAAAATGTGATCCTGGCCAAGAAATAAAAGTTTTGTAACTACTGGGCACTCTGTTAGCTCATTCTGTCAGCTCAGCCCGTCACACTAGTTTAGCCACAGCAGCAAGAAACTCACATGCTCTCCAAAACAATAGGGCTGAACGGCATTCTCCATTTAGAAAGTCAATTAAAAATGCATCCAATGTTAATCCTATAGTAATTAGATGTACTCTGGGTTAGAGTTCTCAGTCTGAGGCTGGATTGCCACACAGCAGCTGCCAGGAATTTCAGCTTATGCCATTCAGTTAATAAAAGAAAAAAAGTCTTAAAAGATTAGCAGCCAACTTTCCCCACTAGAATTTCTCATGGAAATGGTCACATCTTGGCCAAGTATGATTTCACGCCAGCAAGAAAATTATAGAGCAGTAAATTACAGCAGCACGCGGACATGAGAACTTACAGACGTCTCCAGCATCCACGCGTTAGACACACTTCGTTCTTGGGGGACTCGGTGCATGTCTCATGGTAACGAAGCGGATGGAGAGTTCCTTCTCCGGAGCTTCCCAGAGCAGAAGAGGATCATAATTTGATTTCTGTTTTTGCTGACTCCAGACACTGCATGCAAGAGTCAAGCCAATTCCAGCGCTGCAGGGTCCTGGTTGGCTTTCTCCGTGCCCACTCAGCGGGGCGACTCCCTCTGCGTGTGCAGCCTGCCTCGGTGAGACAGATGCGCATTGAGAAACCATTCATGAGCCCCTCTCAAAGTCGCACAAAAGAAACCGCTCAGTGAAGTAGGAAATGCTGCCTGAGCCTCCGAGGGAGGGACGCGAGGTTTCCAGGGGGATGGCTGCCTGCTCCCTCCTCAGACCTCCCTCTCTCCGTCATAAACTGCAAGGTAGCAAGGATCAGGCAGGGCGAACCAAACAGCCGTTTGGTTGTTTTTTTTTTTTCCTTCTTCCCTTTCATCCTTTTTTTTTTCTGGTTAACATTGGAAAGTTTTCCTTTGTTTATAAAATGGAGAAACTGGAAAAATCATCATTTGTACAGATTCCTAAGGCAGGTAAGCCCCACTGTGATTTGAGTTTTAGAATGAAGGCTGAAGAGATAACACACAAAGGGTGAAAAAAAAATAACTGTGACCCTGGGAGCAGGAGGCACTTCAGCCTGGAGCCTGGCTACCTACCGTGCAATTAGAGCCCAGGCTGGTGTGGCCATGCAGCTCTTTGGCAATCAGTCTGATAAAGTGTTAGTATCCTGCCTGTTAAACGCTGGTGTTCTTTAGCAGAAATATGCCAGCTGAACCTAACTCAAAACCTTCCATGTGGGAGAATGAAATCTGATTGTTTCTGAAGGTTAGCCCTTGCAGCTTGTCTGAATTGAACACATACGTCTCCCCCTCTTGGGTTCTCCAGAAGGACTAGCCAAAAGAGATGGGTGATGGGTCTGTGGTGCTACACACGCATGTTCTCTCTCTCTCTCTCTCTCTCTCTCTCTCTCTCTCTCTCTCCCTCTCTCTCCCCCTTCCCTCTCCCTCTCCTTCACCCACTCCCTCCCACTCCCGCTCCCCCTCTCCCTGTATCTCTGTCTCCCTATCTCTCTCCCTCTCTCTCTTCTCTCTGCTCTCTCCACTCTCTCTCCTCTCTCATTTTTCTGTGTTTCCATCCATTTTTCTTAGCCTTCTCCAGAGGCACATTTAACTGCTCTCAGACCTTCAACATTATTATTGGTCAATCTGGACCTTCCTAGCTATTTATTTTCCTCAGTAGCCCACCTAACTATCCAGCTTCCTCCTGGGTATCTAGCTTCTCATGCTTCTTTCTGTAGACTTGGAGATGGGGCCTCAGCACCTTTTCCATTTCCCTGCTCACCTCCCAGTCCACTTTCTCCACCAACCCCCTTGGGCTCACCTTCTGTTGAGTTAACTCGTGGCCATCTCTGATTCTGCTTCATGCTACTGCTGGACATTTCCTTGGTCCTCAGTGCCCTGTTGCAGAGGGTTTCTAAGCTCTCTTCTCCAGGCCACAGCTCTAGCTGGTTTTTATCAGAGGTGCATTGTGCATCTCCGAGGCTGGTGCATGAGAGTCTCTTTCACTGCCCATTTTTGCCATTCTCATGCTCTGCTGCACCCCTGCCCCAAAGGGGTGCATGATGATCACCAGGCATCCTCCAGCTGGATGCTGCAGGTATACGCTTAGGGGCTGTAGCTGCATTGTTTTAAACCCTTGTTCTATAACTCTTAACGGTAGAAACCTGGACAACAAAGCCTCCCCCCTCTTAGTCTTAGTGTTCTCACATGTAAATGGGATAATAGTAGGATTTCCCTCATTAGGTTGTAATGAAGCTAAAATGAGATGATGTGTATAAACATCTCACACCCAGCTTGGAAGCTAATGGGGTGGTGAATGTTAATCACTTTTCCTTGTTCTAATGGGTTGGAGCAATAGCACAGCGGGTAGGGCATTTGCCTTGCACACGGCCGACCTGGGTTCAATTCCTCCATCCCTCTTGGAGAGCCCGGCAAACTACAGAGAATATCCTGCCTGCCTGCATGACAAAGCCTGGCAAACCACCTGTGATGTATTCGATATGCCAAAAACAGTAACAACAAGTCTCACAATGGAGACATTACTGGGCTGCTCAAGCAAATCAATGAACAACGGGAAGACAGTGCTACAGTGCTTGTTCTAATATTTGCATAGCACTATGAAGAAATGTTAGGGTTCATGTCACTCCTGACCTAGACTGTTAGTATCTACATTCCATCATTCTGTCCTTGTGTGGCACTTGAACTCTATCTTTGCCTTGCCCCTACCACTGCTCACTCTTCAAACCTGGACTCCTATCACTATCCCATGAACTTACAGGTTTTTGAAGATTGTAAGGATTTTTTTTTAACTTAGGATTCACTATACTTAGAATTCTCTGTGTCTGGAATGCTGTCACCGTCTCTGTGTCCATCTGGCAATTCCCTCACAATTTTCGAAGTGTGTTCTTGGTGAAGCCCAATCTCTTGTGCGACCTTAATGTTATAGCTTAATCACTCTGTGCTTTAAATTCCTCACCCACAAACTGGGAAAACCATAAAGATAGTTAATTTTATGATTAAAGTTGTTTGTACATAAAGTATCTAGAAAAATTTCAGTTCTTGGTGGATTCATTACTAACATCCAGCTTCCAGGTAACTAAGCCATCCATGAATCTCTTTTCTCCATGTAAACAAGGACTACAGTATTTACTACAATCTTTTATTTGAACACTTTATTTTGGTGCTAAGCCCCATAAAGCTATAGACTATTTTCCTTGTTTGTGGTCTGGAACGTAGTTGGTGTTTAGGTCTGTTTGTTGAATGAATGAATGTATTGTTTTTATAATCCATTAACAGGCCTGTCTATTATATGGCAAGCGGCTTATTCACCTCTATTTTTGTAAAACCAAGCATGATATTTTATTGTGTGTTCAGGGGAGCCATACCTGACTGCGCTCAGGGGCTATTCGTAGCTCTGGACTCAGGTGTGACCCCTGGCAGATCTCAGGGGATCAGATGCTATATCAGGGATTTTAAACAGGCTGGTTAAGATGTCTTAACAAGTGTCTTAACCTTGTACTATCTCTATGTCCCCTACTATGGTATTTATTACTGTGACATCCTTAGTAGATGTATTTTGAAGGAATAAAAAGTCAGCATTAACAACACAGTATCAGGAAGAAATGTAGGACCTCTAACTTCTTCCCCCCCCCTTTTTTTCAATCAATGAGGTACCAATTAAATTTTATTAAAGAGTAGGGATAAAAGGAAATGGGATTTCAAAAACAATACTCTGGTCTGAAAGTTATTTGAAGTATTTCTAAAAGATGCATCAGATTGTGCTACGGATTGCATTAGAGCTCTCCTTGGGGAAAATCTGATGTTCTAAGCTTGTACTTCATGAAGAATAGATAACCATGATAAAATTAGTCAATGAGTTTTTTGTTACATGCTTATATTTTGAAATAATTTTCTTAGTAACCAACATTATGTGCAGTTTAACAAATGCTTTCCATAGACGAAAGATATGGGCAAAATCTAGGTCTTTGTCTCCAGATACTTAAACAGAGCTTGTCTGTTAATAGCTTGAGAACTGGAGTTGGCATTTTTTTTCTTGCAAGGCCAGACATACCTTTTAAATTGGGGACTGCAGTAGCAGGCACCATGGCAAGCTGTTCAGTTCTCTGCTCGGGTTGGAGGTACTCATTTGCCTTGCTGCTAGCATGTGGTGAAGTGGTTCACAGATGGCCCTGTCAGTCACTGAGGCCTCATTCCCATTGTAATGCCTCTTTCTGAGGTCAACTGAAATATCTGAGTCTGATGTGAGCACACAGAAATCTGTATGTTCTTCAAAGTCAGCCTGGTTCTAGGGCTACTTTTTGAATATCTTGAGGTTTCTTTTCTATGTCACTGTTCAACTTAGTCCTTGGGAGTCCTTGGCTCCCCTATTACAAAGAATGACCTAGAGCTCCCTCCCCAGTTTCCTACATGCCAGGCTGCATCAGAGTTGGCTTCCTGGAGAATTGAACCCAAGAGTTGTTTTTAAACTTTTTTAAAGATCTTCGAGTCATTTCTTAATAGTCACACATCTTACAGAGAACAGAAAGACCAGTGGTGCCTATTTATTTATATATTGATGACTGCTTCTTTGACATAAATTTAGTAACCATTTATAGACATCTGGCTTTACTATCTAATCCCTGCCAGAGGAATTTAAAGTCAACAACTCTAAAATGGAATTTATTATTTTTTTTTGTCAGAATTGTTCCATTACTTAATTGGACTTCCCATAGGGGCATTTTTGGAGCTAGTTTATCTTAGTTCACCAGCAAATTATTGCTCAAAATTAGATGTTGA